ATAATTGTTCAATAAATTTATTTTTATATCAAACTTTTTAACATTAAACTTATGTGAGATTTTTATAATTCAATTATAAGTAAATCATTTTGAATGGTTTTTATGTCAGGTTCTAACGATTGAAACGAATTTTCATGTTATACTGAATAACATATTTTATATTATTTATAATATTTACACTTATTTTCTTATACACAGTATTTATTTTCATGCGAACCATAACTTATAAATAAATTAAAACTATATTTTAGTTATTTATATCATATTTTGTGTTTAGAGAGCGAAAAAAATTTCGTTATTATTGTATTGAAAGTCAAGCATTGCTTAAAATTTAAGGCATATTTTGAGCGAAAATGTTTTCTACAGATTTCTTATTCAATTCACAAATAAAACTTTAATTCAATTTTATGGATAAATAATTCAAACTAAAAATCTATTCGCAATGTATTTTGAGAGCAGAAATAAGATTATTTGGTCTATTGTATAGTGAAATTCAGTGAACGTATTATAATAATGCAAACATTAGTGTAATGTACAGTATAGTACACTCTCTGTGTTGTGAACAGTATAATAATAAGTGGAGATGTTTTCTCTGATTTTTCGTATAAATTTCATATTAAAAGTGATTACTTGGGAAACAAATCGGAATATAGTTTATGCCAAACACATAGCTATATATGCCGTATATAAATATATAAATTCTGGACCTAATGTAGAGATAAGTAGAGCAGAGATTTTTCGGGACTAAAAACCACCAAATTCGGTCGGGAACCGGGAGTAAAACAGTCGAATTCGGGAATATTCGGGAATTAACGTTTAATCAGTTCAAACACAATAATTATAGATTTAAATCACTTAAAAATGAATTATAGTAGGTAGCATGACATAGAAATTGAAGTTTTACTCTTGAAGTCTGTCTTCTATTTGTAAGATTATTCTTAAATTTAAAGAAAATTCGTTCAACATGGTTAAACTCATTAGGTGTATATTTTGTTAGACATCTTATCTCAAAATTTTGTGGGTTTTTATAGTACCCTAATATTCCGTGCATTACCCGCGGGTTATCTATTGAAAAAAATCAAAATGTTGGAAAATTTCAGAGTGCGGGTTATACATGGGGTGCGGGTTATCTATTGCAAAAATATTACAAAATTATTATTTCTTAATAATAAAAAATTTTATTCAATCAATTAATAAAATTACAATAAATGTCAATCAAATCCGTCAAAATAAGAATCAGAATCTATTATAGTTTTTTATCACTTTAAAATAAATTATAACAGGTAGAATAACATAGAAATTAAAGTTGTACTCTTTAAGTCTGTCTTCTATTTGTAAGAATATTCTTAAATTGAGAGAAAAACATTCACCATTGTCAAACTCACTCTCGCTCATATCTAAGCAATGTCTATCTTATATCAAAATTTTGTGGATTTTTATAATAATATTTTTAGTTTTTCTTAAAAATAGTGCGCTTTAGCTTATTTTGCATGAAATTTCGGGATTTTATTTCTAAAATATGTCAAAATCGGGAATATTCTCAAAATACGCTAAAGAATCTCTGCTCTAGACATCAAATTCTTCTCCACAGTTATTAGTTTTGTCTCAACACAAAGAGGTTTTAAAATGTATGTACTGTACATGCGGGTTATACATGGGGTGCGGGTTATCTATAGGTTGCATTTTCATTTTCAAATATCACAAATTTTTTAAGTGCGGGTTATACATGGGTGCGGGTAATGCACGGAATAATAGGGTAATATTTTTAGTTTTTCTTGAAAAAGAGTGTGTCTTAGCCTATTTTAAAATCGAAAGTATTCGGGAAAATAAAAATGGTATATTTTTACTCGATTATAACCTCCAAAACTAACTGGATGTTATTCCCGAACATTCTATTAACTAATTTTATTCGGGAATTCCCGAATTATCTCTGCTCTAAAGATAAGCAAATACTTCAATAACTTGTTAAATTTATTATTGATATAAATAACGATATAATAAAATGAATTCTTATATCGTATATATATTATGATAATATATTGAAGACACACCTAATCTATGAAATACTTTATTTAATGTGTTTTTGCCTAATATTTATCTAAAAATATTCTATTCATAACATCAATGCATTTAAGAGATAAACTTCTAATAAATTAATTTAATGAATAAATTTGTATAAATTATTTTAATATATTTCACCATTGAATGTAATTTGCATTTTATGAATTGTATACATAGAGTGTAATACACAGTATATTATGATTTTGTTTAATGTCTGATCTTTTTGTGATTTACAATTATTATAATTTAATATACTTTCAAATGACTCTTCATTGCGATTGTTATAAAAACAAAACGCGTTAAACAAAGTTTGAATTGTGAGCCGAGAAGTTGTCTTCTAATTCAATCATTTCATATGACTTATAAATAAATTAATATTTATAAAGTGTTTTATTCATTGTTATGGTTGACGATTTAATAATTTTAAAGTTAGCTCAAACTTTATATAATGCTAACATTATATAGAAAATATTCAAATTAGTCTCTCTCTCTCTCTCTCTCTCTCTCTCTCTGAATCCGTGATTTAATATGATCTAATGTTGTGGTTGCAGCAAAAATAACAGTTTTATAGCATCTCTCAAACGAGACTTTATTCAGTATTTGTTACATATATTTCCTATATATCTCCCACATCTTTCCTCTCTCTCTCTTCTCTCTCTACCCTTTCCTTTCTCCCACACAATCATGCATTTATATTAAGTCTTACAAATCATAACATTAAAATAAATTGTCTTTTTGATATAAGTTTTATGTAATGATATATCATGTACAAACCCTGAATTAATATTTTTATATAAAATTTTTACGATATAAGTGCAGTACAATTATGTATTTACTAAAATAGAATCACATTTAAATAAATACAAACAAATAATAAATATAAAATACATTTCAATTGAAATGAATTCATAAACTATAAAACTTATAAATATTCTATAATTTACAACATTATAAATAAGTATTATTTGTTGGCCGAAGAATAGGCCAGAAAATCGCGTCTCTGTTTGGCTTTGTCGAGGACTTGGCTATAAGTGCTGACATAGACCTCGTAATGGGGTTTGAGTGTCCACTCGGCAACCATTCTCTCTCCGGCCTTAATATAGAGATTCAATTCTCTCGATGAATACAAATCGGTGTCTTTGCCTCTCATTCGTAACACAATGTAAATCATTGGATCAAACTCTCGGATTGTCCTCAAGAGTCGGACCAATGCTAACAGAGTCTCTTCGCTATACTCGGGATTCGCTAACAAGAATTGCTTTCTCTTGGAGACCAGCGAACGCATCGCTTCCGTGTCTTCTTCGGTCATCTGTTTGTCTTTTAACGATTTAATGAGTTTAAACTCACGCTTCAATTGTCGCTCATAATCGGCGGCCAATCGTAGTTTGGTATACAAGTCGTTATCGCCTGATTCAACCAATCTATCCATTATCTCTTCGTTAAGCTCTAAGTGTAGACAAACTCTTCATTTTTTATCTCATTAATTAGTGAATGATTTGAATTTTCAATTGAATGACAAAATGCTTACAAACTTATGGACCGAATTTGAATATAAAATATTTGATGTTTAATACAATATTTTAATTGCAATTAAAACAAATCAAACGTTATACAAGTTTTTTACTTAATATCAAAAACATGTTCTTTTTACCATAATTGAATCAACAATTAATGATCACGAGCTTATGTACAGTTTATTGAAGGCATCAAGTGTTCAATTTTGTTGTACATAAAGTGGTCAACACTGATATTACAGTCTGTCGGCTAATCATACGGATAATCATTGTTTGATCCAATTGTTGCAGACATGTGTCAACCAAGTTATCATTGAGACAAATCCACATTTAACTACAAGAATTGAGTATTTCTAAAGTCCGGACATTGATTTTCATGTTAACAATTAGAATATTTATGTTACATTTATTTAATTTATAAATCAAATATAAATTTAAAGAAATATAACTTATTAAACTAAAAACTTTGTATATAAGGTTCATTGGGAGGAGTGCTGTAAAAAAGTAGTTAAACAGTTTTTGAATGTTACGTAAAGCGGTAACAAATGAAATATTACTATAATTTAAATAAAATTGTAAAAACAATGTTATAAAACATAATAAATTTATAAATTATTTCTTTATATTTAGATGCCATAAAGTTTTATTTGATTTGATTCACAATCACTACCAGTCCTTATTGTGCCACCTTTTGGATCCGCACCACAATAGCAATCATAATGCAATTGACAAATAGTTTATAAATCAATACTTCCCAGTGTTTAATAGATCGATAACAAGTGTTATCATAACTTATCAAACATTGGCTTCAATAACACCAATAAATCTGCGAACATGTCTCAAATGCGTGTAAAAAATGTATACAAGCTTATAAATAATTATCAAGACCATTTTAAACAAATATTTTATTTAATGCTTTATAATTAATATAGTTTTCAAACATAAAACAAGAGTTTCGTTAATATAATTGAAGATAATGTGAAGATAATTGTGACCATTAATTGTGATAAATGATTATAAATTTAATGTACAAAATATATGTAGATATATATAAAATATGTGAGCGATTAATAAGTATTGAGTCAATCAATCATTTTTTTGTCGAGTTTTATGAAAAATATGGAAAATTTTACTTTCGAAATGGCATTTATAGTAAGCTTTAGAGTATATTACAATAGGTATAAGTTATGCAATCATTAATTACATGCGATAATAATAATTGTCATTTTGTGTGTATAAAAATCTGTTATATATTTATAATATATGTCTTATAATAAATGAACATTTAATTTGTCACAAAAGTATATATCTATACGTATAATATATATCTGAGTAGAAAAACAATGTATATATCCATCGATAGACTCGACCGAAAAGGCATTCAAATGGGTTTTTTCGGCAAAGAGTCTCTCAATATATGTGTGAGTGTTTTGAACACCACATATGCCTCTCTCTCTCACTCACTCTCCCGCCAATCAATGCACTTAACCTTAATATCTAATATCAAGTGAACGGAGTCTTAAGGCTATGAAAGTTATTTGTTAAGTCGTTGAGATCGGTATCACAATAACCGGATTCAAACTCCGACTCCATGGACACATCAAAGCCATTCATGTCTAAGCCATGAACTACTTTCAGCCTCTTTATCGTTGTCTTCCACTCCTCCTCGTAGTCACCATTAGGTATAGGATTTGGCGCCAGATTTCGCTTCTTTATGACCGACGGAGTGGTCGTCGTTGTTGTGGTCGACATCGATGTCATACGAGTTCCACTGTTGTTGGCCTGTGTTGTAGTCGACGTCGATGTGGTGCTCGACTGGGAATCATCTAAACGTTGATATAAAAATGCATTTCAATTATTATTATTATTGATTTCAATTGCAATAAAACAATCGTCAAAAACTTATTAAATAAAATACATATTAAAGTCTAAAACAACATTAAAATCACTTTAAATGACATTCAACTCAAAAAAACAAACGCTAATCGGAAAACTAATGGCAATACATATTATCAGCAAAAAATCCAGGGATTTATAGATAATAGATAGAGACTAACCATTGGTTTCAATTATATTAATTGAATTCAATAAATATAATATCGTTATTAAAAGCATTAAAAATACCAATAAATTGCTTATAAAAATACTCTCATTTCATTTGATTACATAACATATCAATACTAATAACCGTTTAATTTATTTATAATAAAAAATTAAAGTTAAACATTAAATAAACACTAAAAACGGGCATAACTTTCGGGGATTGGATTAGCGCTCAAATCAATGCCAAGACTTATAATTAAATAAACAAAAATGTAAAATACTTTGAAACTAGAGATTAGATATGATTCACAATAAGAGACATGTCTTAAGAAATAAATTCAACGCAAATAATAAGACAAAGAAGAATAAGATATCAATTGAATTACATTTGAATTGTTGGTCACAATTGGCGGCCATTTGTTGAGCCGAATAGAAGAGCGTCGAGTCGTGCAGTAAAGACGACTCGTCTCTTAAGGCCATTGGATGGCTCATCGCTGTCGTGGTTGTGGTCATCGGTGTGTCGGCGGAGAACAAAGTACTGGATGTGATGGGAGACAACTCGTTGAACGAGGGCGTAGTGGCGGTGGAGGCGGACAGAGGGGTGGGCGCGGCGGAGGTCTGCGCGGATGGCTTGCAAGTGATGGTGCGGTGAATGGATGTGAGGAGTACTTCGCGCCTGAGGTCGTGGCTCTGTTTAATGGTATTGGCGTTCATCGCCGACAACTTCTTGCGTGTAATCAGATAGAGATCACAATGAGATGGTGTGATGTTCTCCAACACGTTCTCCGCGTCCAACACATCCCGCAGTGATTGTGTCGAAGAGGAGAGTCGCCGATGGCGTCGAGTGAGTCCACCCACCGGTGCCGGAGTCACCGCCGATGACTCGCTGGCCATCAATGAGGCCGACATTGACTCGAATTCAAAGTACATTTATTATGGCTATTATCGTCGCTCTGACTCCAGAGGTTGGGATCAATTGGTCACTCGTTTAACGGATCCGATGGCCAAACGCTGCGGACATTAATAACAAGTGTTTAGTGAAGTGTTTTGAATTCAAAATATACTCACAATTAATGGTATAAATAATATTCACTAATAAATGGGTTAATAATCACAACATTTGCCGTCAATTGAGTTATTATTACAATTAATTAACAAATAAATTATAACTGAAATTAAATCAAACACTCATTTGTGGCGCTTATAAAGCGATCGTTAATTAAAACTAAATAAATAATAATTAAAACAAAACAACACTTTATAAGTAATAATAATTAAATTAAATGTATATAAAAAACAGTGTTTTAAACACCGATTACTGTCGGAAAGCGTAATAATAATAAAATACAATCAAATCATTGATTCATACGTTTGTCGTATCAAAAAACGACTACTTATTACTCCAGGTATTCATACATTGTATTCAAACACAATTAACTTTAATATTGAACGCGATTTGCGTTACATTTAAACTCTTATTATGTGTTGTTTTTTAAGGCAAAAACATTGGCTCCAAATCGCGATTATCGTCCGTACAGTTCATATCGCGTGACGTTTTTCTGTGACGTCACGCGACGCCTATGTCCTGTTGTGGGGGACCGTCTCATCAGTACTCACTGTATAAATGCCTATTTGTTAAGTCAACGCCAATACTATTATCACTGCACATACGGTCCCCCCGTGTATGCTGTTTCACAATATACCAGGGCTTAAGTAAGTCAATGTCAGTCCCCTTTTTGTATGCCATTGAGCGCCAGTAGGTTTTTTTCAAAGTAACTTTACCTCACGCTTTCACACACACACCGCCAGGCGCTCAGCGCTCACCACAACCAGCGCACAGGCAGTCAAACAAACAGGTAGTGGTGCTGTCCGTACAGGTAGTGCTATAGTAGTGCTGCCAATACATAGCTTTACAAAACTGTTATTGAATTGAACTGTTTTGCAGATTTTAAAATACTTTTACATTCATTACATTCAATCATATTTTCAATTAAAACTATCGCTAATATTAATAGATTTAAAAATAATTTTTCTCATTACTAATTCATTGAAAGCCCTGTTTTTGAATGTATTTTTCTGAAACACTCGCTAACCATACAGAATATCGAGTATTCATTATTACACAACACTATTCGTAATGACAAACGTTATGCAAATATAATAGCCTTTAAATAATGAATTCATTCGCAAAAAAAACAAAACAACAAATAATTCAATATTTTTCTAAACATTTTATTTAATACGCGTAATGAATGAGCGAAAAGTGTTCTCACATTATATTCAAGAAATTACATCAATTGAAGGAAAGAGGGAAAAGAAAATAGAAATTTTATAAAAATCATTATTAAAATAGTAAAAACACAATAATTATTCTGCAATTAATTAAACTGAACAAAATCTGGTATAAAATAATCACAAAACAACTCAATTGGTTCCACAATTTGGGCGACAATTCTTATGGTCCGTAAAGACTTGTAAAATAGAGGGAAAAACAAAGAAAGCGATCATTGGTTGCTGAAGATTGGATTCAATGATCATTAAAATAGAGGTATAATTAGAGTTATGCTGTAATGAATTGGTTCCGAGCGCTCATTCATATACGACAAGTGACCGCCGCCTGAGTCGGTGGGGTTAGAGTTGGCCAGACTTGTCGACCGCAATCTTTTTGCTGGTTTTGCCGCTTTGGGAGCCGTAGGACTCGATCTTCTTGACCACATCCATACCCTCGACAACAGAGCCAAACACCACGTGTTTGCCGTCGAGCCAAGAGGTCTTCACTGTCGTCAGGAAGAATTGCGAGCCATTCGTATTGGGACCTAAAACACAGACACCAGACAAACGGTTAGTAAGCGATACATCCTATCGTAGGGTTGGAAGGGCTAAACGGGTCGCTCAGGGGGGAGAGGGGGCGACCGGAGTGGAGCCATACGTACCGGCGTTGGCCATCGAGAGAATGCCGGGTCCGGTGTGTTTGAGTGTGAAGTTCTCGTCGGCAAACTTGGCGCCATAGATGGATTTACCGCCGGTGCCGTTATGGTTGGTGAAGTCGCCGCCCTGACACATGAAGTTGGGGATCACCCGATGGAAAGTGGAACCGCCGAAACCGAAGCCCTTCTCTCCCGTACACAACGCGCGGAAATTCTCGGCCGTCTTCGGCGTCACATCCGATCGCAACTGTAATCATAAGACTTGGGTTACCGTTGGGTTACACATGACATGTGCTATGAAGTGAGTGCAGAGCCGCCACACATGGCGTGAGTGGAGACGCCGTGGCTTCTCATTCTCTGTATCTAATCTCATGCCTAACGACAGCCAAATGTCTAAACCTGTTGTGCCGTTCGCTGTCAACCACTGCACCTCCACCTCATCTACCGGTAGAGACAGAGCACCGGTAGGTTTTGCCTGCGCTGTGCGTTTGCCGTACATGTTATGCCATTATTATACAAATGTTATGCAACTTGTATTACAAAAAGTACAAGTAATACAAACATTAAGTGAGAAATCGATAACAAAAATGTGAGACAATTATAATGTGACAGAAAAAGAGGAGACAATCGATACATAAAATTCAACAAAAAATTTCAAATACATTATAACAAAGAAATTAAAGGCATTTTATAGTTGTAGGCAAACACTTGTTGACACCAAAGCATTGCTAAAGCATTGAAACGCGTGGCTAATAATCAACAATAGCTGCAATGAGACTGTACTCAACGTATGGGCAAAACACGCCGTTTAGCCGGCAATGCAGTGGAAAATTTTGGCGATTCATAAACGTGAAGGTCGTTCTGGTGTTAGCCATTAAGACTATGGGATCAGTTAGTGGTGATCTCTTCACATACCTCCATAATAATGCGTCCGACGGGCTGTCCATCGGCGGTCATGTCGAAGAAGACTCGGGGCAATGCCATTGCGGTTGTGTTCACTAATGTACGGCTAAACTGTTTCAATGGACTCAAAGCCAGTGTTAGACCACTACTGATGTGAGGCTTACAAGTGCTGCACAACGACTGCTGTTGTAAAACGCCTTTCCCTATACTAGCGATACCTCTACACAACTGACGCATCACTCACTCAATACACACACCTCTCTCTCCAACCGATAAAGTATTGTATTAATAAAACACTCACTTTTTGTGCGAAAAATACACTAATTTTCCAATAGTTTATACTGAAAGCCGGTATCACTTTTAGTGTGGCTATGATTTGTGTGTTTATCGCACTCTCGGATGAGTTAATCTGATATAAGATATAGTTTTTTGGCAGCCGTTGGGGTTTGAGCTATATTTATACGCGTGTATTATATGAGCACTATTTTTCGTGTAGTAATGCGCGGAGTATTAATAGGCATTGATGTTTGCAGTACCACTACATCGCCGGTGCGACCCATAGTGGTAACTGCCCTACACTTACCTCTCGACCCCCTCCCCGCCCCCTTCCTCTACCTCTACATGTTTTGCCTATTATGTTGCGAAAATTATTTTTTAATTTTTCAAATCAATTGATAACTTTTCAATTTGAAAATTTCAAATACAGATTGTTTTTGCAACACAATTAGCGGTAATATATTGTGACCATTGAATTGCATTCATTCAATCAAAGCCTTATTAAATGAGTTACTGATACATAGTCTCAATTTTATAGATATACAACTCTCTTAAAAGTTATGTAACTTTTTTGTTGATTACTTAATTGTAGAGATTGTGTTGTAATTTTATACACTGAAAATTACTTTTTTTTCATTACATTTACAGCTAAAGGCAGACAAGTCTGTAGTGATTCTACATTTGTGTTGCCATACGGGAGGGTATCAAACACTGGCCCCCGATATCTAACTTTTTAAGTACCGGTAATTTTTCCTCATTCTAAATATACCGATTAATACAACAGAACTGTAGTTATGGAAAAATTAATTGTACTACATACTAATACTTGAATACTGTTTTGCTGGAAAATATTTTTTACATAACAATTGTGTAATGAATAACACAAAAATATCATGATTTACAACGCGTGTGCATTAAAAGCCATATAAAATGCCATTTCATTTATAGTCTGAATAGCAATTAATTATTACACTTGTATTAAATACAGTATTTTTCCTCAAAATAACTTATTTAGTTTTTACGGAAGAAATGAAGAAATATTTCAATTCCTATGCCATTCAAATAATTGTTATTACTTTTTGTGTTAAATTGCATTGAAATTAAGGTCTTTTATTCACAAGAATATAATCTTTGAAATATACAATTCAAACATCATATAAATTATAAGTTATATAATTTAACTGACAATTAAATATCTGATAATTTGTTCACATATAAATTCATATATACTTCACATGTAATGGTATTTTTATAATTGAAAAGTTAATAAAATTGAATTTCAGATGAATTTGTGCTGAAATGTAAACAGTTTTGTTTTGAACACTTGGATCACATATCGGAATGTATTTTTTGGAAATTTTTATAAATTTACAAACAATTTGTTATATAAACTTGTTTATAATTTAATGATTATAAATAGAGAAATTATAATTTAATTGATTTTAATTCACATTATTGTCACAATTATCAAAACCAATTGATAAGTGGGAAAACAATACCATTAGTGAATGGTTTGTTGGATAAAAGCTCATTGTTTTAGACGATCCCTTCCTCATAGGGGACAGAGATTTTGCATTTCCTTTCGGATAGAGATTACGATTGGATTCATAGGAATGTTATGGAATTGTAACACTAATTGTGATTATATTTAATACATGCTTATAATAATAAATTGTCAATAAAATGATTTAAATAACATTTAGATATACTGTATATAAATACTAAGACTTCACAAAATAAATTAATAAAACTTAAATTATTATTAAATTAATAAAATTTAAAATAAATATTTTTGGTTTTGTCGTCATAAGAGACTAGACTTTGAAATTAAAAGTCACCGAAAGACTAGAAATAAAATGTAAAAGTCTTGAGATTTTGACAACGGATTCGCACCTTTAGATCATATTCACGTTTTTTTTCAGTCAATAAGTATTTTGTGTATCAATTGTTCATTCATTTGTCGATTTTTCTCATTCGCAACGAATCGACATTTGATGGAAACATAACCGTCAGTAAAAGCGCTGTCAATGAAAGCACAAAATCAATCATTAGGCAACCAATTGAGAGCACACAAGACATGTAAGACAATACATACCTAATATAGTGAACACTGCGACCATGAAGAATGATCCAAACCATCCCAACTCGTTCTGTATTATCTGGAATAGCAGTGCGCCCACCAGTGAGGACAACGCCTGTCAATATACAACATAACAATTAGTTTAAACTACAATAATAACAAACATATAGCTATAAGATGTGTGAATGACGTACGGGTGCCGTAAAAAGGAGCCCATATATAGTGCCGGCGTTTGTTTTGCCGAACACCTGTGCGGTGGCCGTCGGGAAGATAACAAAAATGCCCGAAAACGTGAAAAATATGGCCGAAACCCAAATGAAATACAAGAGTTTACTCTGAAATGATTGAGTGATTATAAATGTCAGTATTAGCGCCGACAGAAGCGCGCAAACGCTGATGAATGTAGTCTTGAACGATGTCTTGTCCAGCAATTGACCCCATATTATACGTCCGCCGGCGTTGAATACCGACGCTATGGAACCGACAAATGCCAAAAAGTGGTCGTCTTTAATAAACTCCTGTCCGAACGCCTTATACATAGTGTTTATGAATTGAACGCTTTGTGTACTCAACGCAAACATGAACCACATCTGCAGGAATTCGTTCGTATGGATCGCCTCTTTGGGCGACAAATCAATCTTATGGAGAGCGTGTGAGGCCGGAGCCGATGGCGACCCACCGCCACCACCGCCCGAGTCTTCGTCGCAACTGCTGTAACTGCACTCCAGCACCGACTCTGAGGGCGACTTAATCAACAGGAACTTCCCCTCATTGAAGATGATCTGATCCGGGAATTGCGGCGGTCTGAAGATCAATAGACACGCTATCAGTTGTATAATGAGATATACGGCGCCCAACACTACGAACAGTGAGGGAACGCGCGATAGGATTGTCTCGTCGGTGAAGAAGCCGTCGGCGTCGGGCGACGCGTTCAATGGGTTCAAGTATGCGGTCTGAACGTGATTGAAGATCAGAGCCCCCATACCATACCCGCCAACTGTTATCCCATTCACCAGACCTTTACGCTCCGGAAACCACTGTAACCGCGAGATTGGCGTTTAATTAAGCGTAAGTCAAGTGAGTTATGGACATAAGGCTAACCTTCATTCCGGCGGCGAGAGGAGCCACGTATGCGATGCCCACTCCAAGACTGGCCAGAAAGCCATAGCTAAACACCACGTATACAAATCCCATCTGAACCGTCAGATACGTCAACGCTATGGATCCGCTGAACACAATCGATCCCAAGAGACACGTCCAGCTGCACGAGTGAAACAACACAACCAGTTAGTCATCATATATGATGGTAGGGAAAGGGATGATTGTTTGACACATACCGGGGCCCGAGTCTGACCTCGAGTAGTCCGCCGACAGTCATGAGCGACCCCTGGCCTAACATGAAGGCCGCGTTGACCCAAATAGAGTTGGCATAAGTGGCCGTCGGGTCCACAGTATGCCTGATATATGATGTCATATATGTGTTCACATTTCCCAACGTGTAAAACGTGCCTAACGTTAAGTGTATGAGAAAACCGCCCAATACTGACGACAAGCCCCGGTAGTAATCCCTGTCCATTGCCATCGCTCTTCGCACGAGGTATTAGTTATTATTATTAATTATTAACCACTTGTGTTACCAGCACTATGTAAACCAATAGTTGTCCATATGTTGTGTGGCGTTACGTATAGCGAGAGTAGTATGTATTGTATGGTATGGTATGCGAGAGACACTCACGACTCAAACTACGGCCCAATGCATGCGATTGTGTGCAACGAATGGACAATACATTTGAATAGGAGTTTGGGATGAGATGTTCAATGAGATTGAGGTCTCTCTGACACGGGATGTGTCACAACAGTTGTCAACAAAACACTCGCCACTCCTTACGTCACACAATGTTTTCAATCGTATTGTTTGTAACACTTATCGCATATTTTGGGCCCTTTTTAGATGAAAACGTTTGCGATATTATGTGTGAAAATAGTTCCCAAACTTTGTCTGTATTTCACACTGTTTTCTGTGTTAACACTTGTATTTGGTTTACATTAACCAAAAAATAGCCAAAAGTTTCACTCAATTAAAACTTTGAATTAATATAATTTAATATAATTAATATAATTAAATTAGTGTCCATTGAATTAATTATATGGATATTGTTTATAAATCTAGTGCTCATTACATGCACTAAATATAAACGCAACTATAATTGATATAATATTTGTTACCATGATTACAATGATAGATTCTTGAATTCTACATGCCATGACATTAGAAATATAATATTCCTTATAGAATCAAGGTGTTATTGCTTAGAAATTAAATTAGATTGAACTAGATTAACTATGCACAATGTATAATGCATTTAATACGCTACTTATATGCATCGGGGTAAATTTATGCAAGTACTACTATAGTAAATTTAGTTTTACAAAGTATTTTAAATATATTATGCGAGAAATACAAACTATTATGATAATATAATGGACACTAACCATCGTTTCATACACTAAACACGTAAGTAAATTGTAATTAAGTAGTTGTGTTTTGTTTAGTAACCATATCTAATGTGTTAATGTTTTATTAATGTTTATAATTTTATTTTTGTTTAACATTTTGAATATTCTTAATTCAAATTTACATTAATTTACAATATTTCATATAGAATTTATGAAATGTTCATGCTTAATTCAATGATTTATTTGGTGACGGAATCATATTGTATGATATGATTATAATAAACAGGTATTTAATATGTAATTATTATTTATGTTTTAAATGCACAAGCTATGCAGCATACCAGTGTATAAAGTTTTTATTTAGTATACATTATACACTATAAGAATTGTCTCTGATTAATTTAATGATTTAATTTAATCACCTATAAATACATTCACATGTATATGCACATGTTTAAATAAATATTTTTTATTACAAATAAACATACTATCGGATATCATTTACTATTACAGTATGACTAATCAGCAATTCTGTATATTTCAATATATAAAACTTGGGATAATTTTTGCTTAATATAAAAGTATTTGTATAATCACACATGGTTTATTATAATCAAAACATTTATTTTTAATTGTCAACAACTTTAAAAGTGTTTGTAAATATTTATTACTAAATTCATTGAAATTCCATTACTAGTGATGAGCCCAATATTGTTTCAATATTAATTCAATATAATTCACTATAAATCAACATGTTTACGCGATTTTAAATGAACTAAACAATAATATGTAGATTCTCTGAAAGTTATATTTTTAATTATAATTTAATTTATTAGATAGAAAACTGCAAACAGCATCGGCTATGCGTAAAAATACGTTAACCCAATGATATATACGTTATTATATTTACGGTTATGAAGTCATACCTGTGCACAACGTTACTGTATTATGTATTTACCTAAAAACAAATTTACTATCTAATTTAATAATTATAATACAATAAACACTATTATTATTACTATTCGATGATTGGCTATCTATAGCATTCAATAATGTTAAGAGCAAATCATTTCAAGAATATATCGATAAAACATATTTATATTTACATCATATATGGGAAGTAAACCATCGTTTGTTTAAAACCCATATAAAACTTAACTGTGTTTTAAGTGTCGACAGTCAGAGAAATATAATTTTAATTAATATAAATTAAAACTCATTGAGTTGTAATGAGAGGTTTAGTTACAAACACATATATCATTCAGTGCTTGCAATATAAATACAGAACATTTGCGTGAATTCAATACAAAACGGGAAACGCGTTTAAGGAGTGAAAGAAAAATTCATTTCCTAAAAACTTGCTAAACAAGTGATTTGTTAACATTTCAAGTGATTTAAAACTACTTTTTTGAAGGTAAGGCCAGTATTGAATTGTATATAACGATGAAATAACTATTGGCAGAGATTTAGTGATAAAATAGTCATACGATTAATATTGTAGAAAAATGATGTCAAACAGAGAAAACATTGTAAATGTATCGACGAGTTGTCGATTTTGTTTGGACGACGATTCTGGGGATGAGATGATCACTCCGTGTGACTGTCGGGGCACCGGAGCCATCGTCCATAAACACTGTCTGCTTCAGTGGCTCCGATACACCAACACATGCAATGTGTGTCAAACAAAGTACAAACTCCAAGCCTGTGGTCTCGTAACGGCGGCCGTAATTACACATTTGAACGATATTCTGGTCGATGTGACCACAATCGCGGCGTTTGTCACTACATATTGTGCTTTCGTGTACATAGCGTTCAGTCGACTTCGCTATCCCGCCAGTGATCAGGACTTTTCGGTGCCGACCAAACCATTGGTGAACCAAATACTAACGTATGGCACCATTTGTTTGGGTGCTATCGTATTCATAATAGCTGTCGAGAGTTTCGTCAAAAAGTTTCGTAAATTAATAGCCTTTTAATAATTGAATTTACATTTTCTTCGAGCAAAATGTTTTCATTTTTGTTATATATTTTATTTTTCGTTGTAAATAATATAAGAAACACATTTGTTGTTCAAATAAAAATTTTGTTTAATTTTGTTATTTTTTTGCTTATAAATGAACAAAAATCAATGCGTTAAATGATTTTAACGTTAACCAAATGAACACAAAATATAACTACACTTTTTGTTGTGAATGCAATCAATTCTTACTAATCATTTGGTTTCAAAAATTACTATTTAATGATAAATGTTAACCGTTTTGAAATTGATTTGTGCCAATCATTAATTTTAACTGTATTTTGTATTAAATTCATATTTCACGACATGATTATAACGCTAGATATCAATTGATTGCATTCATATTGTGTTTATAGTGTTTAGTTTAAAACAAATTTAATTAAACACTTCCTCTGCCAAAACAATTTTCTAAATAAATTAATTAATACTAACTATTTTTCCTTGTGCTAAAATTAACCAATAATTAAGCTTAAATAAGATTTATATAAATAGTACTATCAAATCGCTATATTATGCAATTACTACCTAACTATTGAATAACACCATAATATAATAATTATTATTTTAATTAAAACGTATTAATACTAAACACGAATTTATTTATAGACTCACATAAAACTAAATGCATACAAACAATTTATTAGACATAATTAAGTATAAGTATAAGTATAAGTATAAGTATAAGTATACTGTTATTTAACGACGCTGTGGTATCAGCTGAAGCTGGTATTCTTACCAGGCGTCGGTGTTTATTAAACCACATCCCGTGGCCACAGCACCGGCAGACACAACCAGTAACTGTCTGGCGTCCGTATTAACGAGAGCACACCGACTACTCTCTCAGCCGTAATTAAGTTGGAAAAACAGATTGTGAAACAGGTCCCTGACGGGTATCGAACCCAGGACCTGCCACATTGATCTGCCCTAGAGTTTTACCTCTAGACCAACAAGGCTGACTGAATTAATGTCTAAACATAGTGCTACCAGGTCATTTTCCCAAATTATTGGATAAATTTTTTTAAACAAAATTTTCCGAGCAACCATAAATTTAATTAAACATTATTATTAAATTATATTGGATAAAACCACTTTAAAATTCATAAATAAGTTTATCTCAAACAACATGTTAAAAGTATGTAGAATTTAACACTTATTTGATTATTGTATTTACAGAATTTTCCATAAGAATATTGTTTGAATACAAATACAATACTGTTATATAAATATTGATGCACACAAACGGAGTACTAATTCAAACACATGTAAATGTAATTTTATAATGTATTAAATTTAGAAATTCTTTATATAACTTAGTTGTGACAAAACATTGCGGTAAAACATACATTTAATTGGCTGTCTATGCCTGTCCTTGTGCTAGAGCTACATCTCATGTGTTTTTTATTTTCAAGTACACTATATATGATATACTGGTTATAATGTAATAAGATTGTGTGAATATGTTTACAATAACTACAATTACAATTTGGAGATTTAATATAAATGCAGAATTTTGAACTTATACTTTATATGTGGTTAAAATTACTTGTATTGAAATATGACATAAATTAAGTTTACATAACATTCTGCACCGATTTTTGACAGTTATATAACGATATGCAACCATTGGATTGGTTTTATTTCTATGCAAAATTATATCCTCTCTGAGTCTCGCAACTAATGGTAAGTTTTTCCTCCATTCAAAAATCAGATATGGATTATGTGTTGAATCCTTTCGTAAAAGACATGTTTGTGGATATTTTAATCGTTTTGGTATTTTCTGTGTTTTCCTATTTGTTTAGTTATGTAATAAATCTCATCGAAAGTAATTCGCCGACAGATTTAGACAATGGGTGAGAGAACTATACATTTTTATTTATTTTATTAAATTAAGTTTCACGAATGTTTACACAATTGCTTACAATTTACTTATGTGTTATAAAAATCGGCTCCATTTATCTCAAATGGTTCTAGGAACTTTATATCATTACTTATATGAAATAGTAAGAATTTTGAATTGCCATGATTCAATAAGTAACTATTATTTTTAAAAATGAATTCTCAACACACGTATAGTTTATAACATTACATTACAGAATACTTTAAATATAATCACATGCTTTGCATCAAACATGCCGTATAAATAAACACAGAATTATTGTACGCCTCTATATATAATTTATTGTAGAATTTTAACAATTACGTAGAAATTGTCTTGGTTGTTTTATAAATGAAGTTAAGCTATATAATTTTCTGTATAATAAATGTTTGAAGTGAACCATCTGATAAAAGTGTATTTTTAATTATCTACACTACAGTATAATTTTTTGTAGTAATGGACTGTACTTAAGTTGTTTTATCGCAGAGTTAAAAGTATAAATATTTATAACTTTATTTGTAATAATTAATTAAAAATAATATATTTACACTTTTTTGGTGCGATCCTGTATTTGCACTTATAGTGTAAATTAATTTGGTAACTACTGTATATTACGTAACATTTAGCAATAAGGTTATAAAATTTTTGTACAATATATAAATAATTAATATAAATTAATATTTAATAATTTATTAGATATATTAGTAATAAATCTAATAAGGTAATATCTCTGAACGTCGAAATTGTATGCGTTGTAATATTCGATATAAATTATTGTTGCATTAACACAAAAGTTAGAATAAATTATTAAATTAATGCTCCTGGTTAATACCTGACAATGAGTACAATAATTGCACCTAGCATTACAAAACTTAAAATATCAATTGATGTGAAAAGCATTAGGAGTTTACAGTACTTATATGTGAATAATTAGTAAATTGATGTTATATTAATATTAAAAGTTTGGTGCATACTGGATTCTTGTTTTATCTATTTAACATATTGTATAAGATAGTTTATGTTTTTATGAGTTTATAATAAGATTAAAACAATATAGCACTAACACAGTCACTTTTAGAGTGCATACAATGACAATGTAAGTATGATATATAATAAGTGCAATTTTAGTTTTATTGGTACAATCTTTGTTAAATTTTAAAATTCAATAATTAAACTAAAACTTTACATTAATTTATATTTTTGGCGCTCTATAAGTACCAAAAATTTTTCATATTTCGTAATTTTTATATTCTTTGTCTTATATTTCTCTTAATTGTTATTTACAGTAATTTTATTTATTAATAAATTAATTCAAAAATACTAAAACTAATTGAACATTGCTATAAATTACATTTACAAACACTATTTATTTTGTACTGAATTTAATGTTAATGTTAATTAAAACTAATTTATTATACAAGAAAAATGAACTTAAGAACAATAAAACAATTTGCAGTATTTAAAAAGCAGGGAATTACGAAATTTATGATTGTAAAAATAATTTTAATTCAGACAGCAATATATTTCTATAGATAAGTACGTTTTTATGTCGTTAAAACTTGGAAGTTTTGTCATAGACATATAAAAATATTTTGTCACACGTATGATCTTTGTGCTTTACATAATTATTAATTAATTTCGTCACCTTGATTGAAAGTTTGATTGTAATCGCTTGTTGCCAATGTATCCATTATATAATTAACACCTTTATTATTACATGAATCGTATTTAATATAAAACTTAAGAAATTTTAGATTTATTTTTAGTCTACACTTGATGTGAGACTCGAGTTATATATTTTCTAGATTTATATTAAAATAATATTTTATAGCTTAAAGTCTGAGACATGGATGAGGAGCAGCTGATTAAGAAGCCCTCACGGTTTGATCGGACCAACATTATTAGCAGATCGTATTGCATGTAAGTAAATTTACTTGTTTGTTCATAATGGTTTTTTGAATTAAGTAATTATTAATTTGCAGATTTATTAATTATTGTCTTAAAAATGTTTTTAATTGAATATTTAGATGGATTTATAAGACATTTATTAGGGGTTTGAAGAAAGACGTGGAAATCACTGATTTGTACAAATGTCCCAAAAAAGATGAATCACAAATTTTGGTTCAACGACTCGAAAGGTTTGAATTTTTAATGTTTTCAGTAAGAATTTTAATATTTTATATATTTTTGTGTAATTAATAGGAATTGGAATAAAGAGTTAAAGAAGAAGAATCCAAGTTTCACGAGGGCTACCATCAAGACATTTGCCCTCCAAATGCTTATCCCTTTCTGTCTCATCTTATTTTGCGTAAGTTTTCCTATAAATTGCAAAACAATTTAAATACCAAATGAATCTTATTTGTTAAATGAGTATTTCAGTAGTTTATAGCTGCAGTTATTATAACATTAAGTGCAGAATCGTATTAATAGATAAGAATTTATGATTTTATAATTCATTATAATTGTTAAATAAGGATCTTATAATCAACATGTGGTTTATACTGCCTCACATTTTTGTTCATATGACCATTTACTATCTAAAGTAATTTTAACAATAAAATGTGTAATATTTAATTAATATTTATTTAATGATATTTGTAACAGGAATGTTTCCTAAAGATAGTTCAGGCCCTTTTGCTCGGTTGGGTTATCCGCTACTTTGCTAATAGCGGTGACGTAAGCTATGAAGACGCCTGTCTGTACGCCGGGGGTGTTGTCGGCACCTCATTGTTGTATGTCGTGTGCTATCATCCGGCGGCTGTACTCGAGTGCAGGGTTGCCACTCGGGCGCGGGTCACGTGGTGTACGCTCATGTATAAAAAGGTTGGTATAACACGTTGTAATTAAATTAAACTAATATTTATTTAATTAACTCGTGTCAGGCGTTGAGACTAAAGCCGTCGGCGTTTGGAAAGACAACAATCGGGCAGATATTAAATCTGATGTCAAATGACGTGAGCAGATTTGACGAGGTATTCAATATATTAACTTTTACAATCATTTTGTTAAATCTTACATGGTTGTTTTTTAAATATAGTATTGCATTCTGGGCAATTATATGTTTGTCGCACCCATGCAGACAATTATTGGCATTTATATCTGCTATACATACATCGGTTGGACGTGTTTTATAGGACTCGCCATACTTTTCTGTTTTATTCCTTTCAATAGTCTGACCGGAAGATTATTTTTAAAAATTAGGTAAAATTGTAATATTAAATGTAGTTTATTTTGTCTAAACTAAACTAACATTAATATGGTAAAATTTAGGACAAAAGTTGCCGCGCTTTCCGACAATAGGATCCGTTTAATGAATGAAATAATCAAAGGGATGGCAGTTATAAAGATGTACGCCTGGGAGAGACACTTCTCTAATCTTATATCCGAGGCCCGAAAGTATGACAATTATAATATAATTTATCGCATTTTCTTTACGATATTAATTTGTAATAATTTTTTTGATTAATTTTTTTAATTAGGAAAGAGATGACAAAAATCAGAGGATCAACGCTATTGAGAGCGCTTAACATTTCCATATCGTTAATCTCCGCTCGCGTTATACTGTTTGCTATATTTATCGTATATGTGTTGACCGGCGGACAACTGAAGGCCGAGAAAGTGTTTGTAACGATGTCTATATTCAATACAATCCGGAACACAATGACCTGGTTTTTCCCGCAAACCATCGCATTGGCCGCTGAAATAAGTGTGTCCTGTAAACGGGTTCAGGTATTCACTCATTGAAACATCAAGTTACTTGATATTGTATATAATTTCATAATTATTTTGTAGAAATTTTTAATGTTGGAAGAAATAGAGGACAAAAGTATTGAATACAAAGACAACGGAAATGAGAAGAAAAATTTAATGGACACCAAAATGAATGACAATAACAACGAATCGTGTAATATATGTGTGAAAGAGATGTCCGCCAAATGGATACCTGTGAGAATTCAATACATTTACAAATGTGTTTTGTATAATAATTTTATATCATTTTAAAACATAGGATAACGATATCTCGACACTAAAAAACATTTCCTGTTCTGTAAAACCGGGAGAATTATTAGCAGTGATCGGACCGGTGGGGTCGGGAAAGGTATGTCATTTGTCCTATGATTTATAATTTTATAATGATTTAGTACTTAATGATAAATTAATTACACAAAGAGCTCATTCCTGATGTCTTTGATGAACGAGATTGAAGTGACGTCGGGATCGGTAGAAGTGAAGGGGAGTATAGCGTATGCGTCTCAGGAGAGCTGGTCTTTCAATTCAAGTATTTTACAAAACATAATGTTTGGAAAGACTTACGACTCGAAGAAATTCCGAGAAGTGATAAATGTTTGCGCAATGAATAGAGACTTAAAACTGTTTCATCTCAGGAGAGCTGGTCTTTCAATTCAAGTATTTTGCAAAACATAATGTTTGGAAAGACTTACGACTCGAAGAAATTCCGAGAAGTGATAAATGTTTGCGCAATGAATAGAGACTTAAAACTGTTTCCCTTCGGAGAGAAAACATTAGTCGGAGAGAGAGGGGTGTCGTTGAGTGGCGGACAGAAGGCCAGGATTACATTAGCTCGGTCAGTTTATATTATTTACAATTTATTAATGTTAATTAATGTAAGTTTTTTCATTTAATTATTATATAAATGTATTTTCAGTGCCCTCTATAATGACGCCGATATCTACCTATTGGACGACCCATTAAGTGCCGTCGACTCTGAAGTTGCAAAACATATTTTTGAAAAGTATAGTAAATTAATTGAAAGTGTAATATAATTAAATCTAACATTATTTATTAATTTATGTACAGATGTATAACTGATTATTTGAAGTCCAAAACAGTAGTATTAGTCACACATCAAATCCAGTTCATTAAAAAGGCCACAAAAATCCTAGTGTTAAAAGAGGGCCGACCCCTGGCTTTTGGATCATACGATGAATTGATGGAATCGGGCATTGATTTCATGTCTTTAATCGAAGAGAAAAAAGCGGAAAATGAAAAGAAAAAAGAAGAGAAGAATAAAAGCGAAGAAATATTAATCGCAGAAACAATTATCGCCAGAAAGAGGACAATAAGCGCGTTGTCGACCAAATCAGATGTAAACATTATTTTGCAGTTCATTAAAATTTATATATAATTAATTTGTTATGAATTAAAACTATAGGTTGACGTAGAGATCAGTGATCCTAAGTTAGAGAGTGAAGTGAAAGCAACAGGGTCAATTGACGCACGGGTTTACTGGGATTATATCAAAGCCGGCGCCGGTCCTATCCTAATGACTTTGGCAGTCCTGTCAACACTTGTTTCTCAGGCACTCTTTCATTACAGCGATATATGGCTAACCGATTGGTATACAAATATTTATACTTTCTTATAAATATATGATAAAATGATTTGTATTTTAGGACTAATGCTGAGGACCAAAGAAACGCAACCGAAGAATACAGTCAAACAAATAATATAATAATATATTCAGTATTAGTGGCGACGACTTTCATAACACTAATCATACGGTCGGGAACTTTCTTCATGATGTGTATCATAGCGTCAGTCAATCTTCACAACAGAATATTCTTTAAACTAATGAGAGCTCCGATCGGTTTCTTTGACAACAATCCACTTTCATAACACTAATCATACGGTCGGGAACTTTCTTCATGATGTGTATCATAGCGTCAGTCAATCTTCACAACAGAATATTCTTTAAACTAATGAGAGCTCCGATCGGTTTCTTTGACAACAATCCGGTCGGTATGTATTCATCACTATTTAATTCATTTATAAATTGTTATAATTATTAATAATTTGAAAATACATTGAATTTTAGGCCGAATTTTGAATCGGTTTACAAAAGACGTGGGAATAGTTGACGAACAGTTGCCGTTGTGTTCTTATGACTTGAATACTGTAAGCATTTAATTAACGTCAAACTATCAAAAATAGGCATAACTTTTAAGTTATTTGTATCAATAGATTGTAACTCAAGTCATTGGATCCATAATTGTTGTGGCGTTAGTGAATTGGTATCTAATATTTCCGGCACTTGGAATGATTGTCTTAATTTTGGTCATTCGATGGATTTATATCAAAACTGGAAGAGATCTCAAAAGATTTGAAAATATGGGTATTTATTATCAATAATTCAGATATAAATGAAAACATTAAAGTAAACGTTTGATAACAAACTATAGCCAGGAGTCCAATGTATAACCACATGACCACAACATTGAGTGGATTGGCAACGATTCGTGCCTTCAAAGCCCAGAATATGTTTATGAATCAGTACTACCGGTACCAGAATGACCACACGGCCACTTACTTCATGTGCTTTAGTGCCTCCAGAGCTCTCGGTTTGACTCTAATTATTATTTGAAATATAAATATTTGAATATACAGTATATAAAAATTTGAAATATTTATCTCTATAATTACTGAATATTCAATTAATATAATTATTTTACTCTTACAACACCAGGAATAGTGATGGATTGGGTGTGTATGGTGTATATACTATTAGTGGCACTGTTTATTATGATATTCCCTGAAGGTAAGGGTAAAATGTTACATTTCATAAATCAGTTATTAAAACATTTTATGTTAAATTTGAAAGGACTTCCGGGCGGTAGCGCTGGTCTGGCGTTTACGATGGCGTTGGGCTTAACGGGAATGACTCAGTGGGGAGTCAGACAATCGGCTGAAGTCGAGAATCAAATGACTTCTGTGGAGAGGATTCTCGAGTATTCAAAGCTTGAATCGGAAGCAGAACTCGAAAGCGTCACAAAACCAGCGCTCGATTGGCCACAAGAGGGACACATCCAACTCAAAGACGTTTACCTCACTTATGAAAACTCTCCGAAACCGACACTAATTGGTCTGAATTGTGTGATAAGAGGCGGAGAGAAAGTGGGAGTCGTTGGCCGAATTGGCCACAAGAGGGACACATCCAACTCAAAGACGTTTACCTCACTTATGAAAACTCTCCGAAACCGACACTAATTGGTCTGAATTGTGTGATAAGAGGCGGAGAGAAAGTGGGAGTCGTTGGCCGCACGGGTGCCGGAAAGAGCTCTATATTGTCCGCACTCTTCCGTATGCATGAATGCGAAGGCAATATCATTATTGATGGCATTGACTGCAAGAGTATAGGTCTCCACGATTTGCGCAAAAAAATGTCAATTATACCTCAGGATCCGATCGCTTTCATTGGCTCTTTGCGCAAGAATTTGGATCCTTTCGACGAACACTCGGAGGACAAGTTGTGGGATGTGTTAGAAGAGGTTCAGCTGAAAGAGGCTGTGAATGAAATGCCCGGACGTCTGGACTACCAGTTGTCAGAAAGTGGGGGTAATCTGAGTGTCGGTCAAAGACAACTGATATGTTTGGCGAGAGCTATACTCAGACGAAACCGTATACTAGTGTTAGACGAGGCGACCGCTAATGTGGACCATAAGACGGATTCACTAATTCAACGGACTATTAGAGAAAACTTTGCCGATTGTACTGTCATTACAATAGCCCACAGACTGAATACAATCATAGATTCGGATCGAGTGTTGGTTTTAGACGCCGGAAGGATAATAGAGTTCGACAGACCTTTCATTCTCCTGCAGAACAACACCGGAATGTTCTATAAGTTAGTCAAACAAACGGGTCTTTCAATGGCTAACGATCTGATGAGAGCCGCCAAAGAGGCCTACGATTTGAAACCAAGTTCGACAGACCTTTCATTCTCCTGCAGAACAACACCGGAATGTTCTATAAGTTAGTCAAACAAACGGGTCTTTCAATGGCTAACGATCTGATGAGAGCCGCCAAAGAGGCCTACGATTTGAAACCCAATCATTCAATTGAAGACAGTATTAAAGACAACATCAGAATTGAATAAAGAATTTTAAACTATTTTTATAGATATATTTGAAAATTTATTAAAATGTTTTCAATTCACATATTGTGAACCAAATATATATTTTTAATATATTTATAATATATAATAAAATCTATTACAATCTAACTTTAAATCCATTTGACCTCATAATATGAATGTTATATTTAATGTAAAACACAACTAAATGTTTAATTTAATAAATAAGTTATAGTTTTATAGCTATTTTCTACGAGAGAAAGTTTATAACAATAGTGTATTTTTAAAAACCTTTGCATTACTTTTGTAATTCATTTTGCATTTTACTTTTCATCCAATCCATGAACAAAATCTGCATCACTTTATCGCTTCTAATCCTTTTCATAGCTCTCATAGTCTGCTCTTCGCTCATAACCGCCA